CACTTTAATTTAAATTGAAATTGCCTAAAAAATTAAAATCAACCAATCCAAAAACTTAACCCTTTCATTTATTAATATTTTCTCTCTGTGTGCACTGCAAGAAAAGCAAGGTCGCATTGTTGTCTGGGGAGAATCAATTTGAGACTTAAATGCGGATGGTTGTCCGTTTTCTGCTCGTCAGTCGCATCACGTCACGTCACGATCTGCGACTCATGCTCTTGGGTCGTCAGTTTTTCGAGTGCATTGCCGCTGTCCTTTAAAGGGTTTTGCCCATGGATGTTGCTGCTGCTGCTGCTGCTGCTGCTGCCATGTTGCTGCTGCTGCTGTTGCTGTTGTCATTGTTGCAGCAGCTGCAACAGCAAGAGAACAACCATTGTTGGCACTGCGACTCTGTCTAGTTCTGCTTTTGGGCCTTTACATGCGCGGCCACAACAAAAAAGGTGTTAAATTCAGCCCATGGCCTGGCCAAAGCGAACTGCAGGCCAAAAGCCAGGGCTCGATCCAAAGTCAATGGCCTCTGAAGAATTCGCTGGCTCGGCAGAAGGACATTTCGAGTTCCAAACTGGGATGGTGAAGCACCTCAAGTGGCTGAGCTCAAGCTGGGCGAGCGAAAAGCATTCAAATGAAGTCAGCATGATGAAAACATCAGGCGAAACAACTGCATAAGACAATAACATCCTGTTTTAACTGTAAACATCTGTGAACTATTAAGGCAATTAATTAACTGGCTACACAATTTGTTGGCTTCGCACATTTTGGCCATTTCGCTCGTCGGGCTGTCAAGTGGAAAAATGCCATTTAATTTGCCACAAATTGTGCATTGTTTGGGCCTTAATTAAAATTGTCTTTTGTTCATCTTCGTCTTCTCCCGCCTTTTGGACGGCTTTTTGCCTTGCAGAACGGAAGCTGACAATTGACCATTAAAAAAGCAAAAACAAGCCACATCTGCTAATGCGAAGGGGAAAACTTTCACTCAGCCGAAATGTTTTAATTAAAATTGGCAAAAAAACAAAGCAACCTGAGCTGGAGAAAGAAATTAATTTAAACTAGATATTGTGTGTAACCGGTTGGGATATGGCATTCGCAATGCTCAGTTGGAAAAGTGAAATTTCTGAGACGCGCTTCGAGAACCCATTTTTGGCATTTAGCAGTTCATTAGCAAGATAGCTCCAAAATATGCATAAAATTAATCAGATGGTGCCAAATACAGGCCACAAAAGCAGAAAGTGAAAGAATGTAAGAAAACCCTCGTGAGCTGCTCATAAATATTAGAAGAAATTCCCAAACCTAATTAGGTTTTTTAAAAATACTAAAATAACACGATTCTAATGTTGTATCTAAGAATATTATATCGATATTACTTTAGCAGTCAGTTAAAATTATTTCAGGGAGTCAATTATGTTCATAAATTTCTTTGACTAAAACCAGACCTTGTAATTGCCATCTCTAATCAGGTAAAATTATATTAATAAAATATAATGGGATAATGAAATGTTGGAGAGTGACAAATTCATTGTTACTACTGGTTTAAAATCCTAAGTGGATCACACGCTTAACAATTCCCGTTGGGAAATATTAATTGAGCTAAATGTTTTGCTTTTGTGTCACAGCCAAGATAAGAATCCAAATTAGTTGGCTCAAAAAGATGAACCTCAGAAGGAAATAACCAGCGACAGCCATGTGACCCTCATTAAAAGTAAGTTTCATGTATTTATTCCTTTGATCTTGCAGCGGCGACCACACAAACACTCCGGAGAACGCTTTTGATTATTTTCTCAGCGGTTTCTCTCCGCCATTTTAGCCTTTTGTCTCGGCCAAGTCATGCATAATGAGAACCTGATATATGGCGATATACTATATACCCGTATATATGTCAATTACAGCACGATCTTTTGGCAAACCCGCGGCAGCCTGACACATTTCCAGTGGGTCAGAAGTCTGATACCGATATTTATGTCACCGGCGACAATAAATTTGTCAGCTTTTTGTTAACCGTTAAGTAAACGCAATGCATGATTTGTGTTTTGTAATGAGGGCGAGTGAGAAATGTCGAACGAATCCGACGACGAAGATGAAGTTGAAGTTGAAGTTAAAGTCGCAGTCGAAGTCGCAGTCGAGTGGCAAACGAAACGGGTTTGGGTTCAGTTCATAAAATATTCATGATATGCCAAATGTTTTGTTTTGTTTGACTTTTTGATTTTTTTTGCGAGCAAAATTGCTCAAGATTGAGTCATGGAATTTCGGTTGGGACATCAATATTCAATAGGCAGAATAATATATAAAGCTCGGAGACAGTTAAATATTTTCAGTCTTTGTTGGTTCTTACCGCAGACAGAAAATTATTTTGAATTTATATTTGTTCTTTCGACAAAAGAGTGGGGAAAAGAAAAGTCAATAATGAAAGCTGCTAAAATGTAAATGTTTTGCAGAAAAATAATAAAAATATAAATGTGTTTTGCTATTGCTTATATTGTTATTTTAAAAAGTATTTACAAATTGTATACATAATATGATTATATTTAATGAACATGTCTCATATATAAACTTGAAGTGTTGTAATCCTTCTTGGCCTTTGTTGCTAGCCAAAAAATTATTAAAACAAACAATTTCAAGTGTGACCACAAAAGCGGCATTGACCATTCAAGTGCCTAAATTCGATGGCTCTCGACACATTGTTTCGATCACTTTTGGGATGCAATGGCAGCAGCAACAACAGAAACAGCAGCAATATCAGCGGCCACAATGGGAGCAACACCAACGGCAATAGCAACACCAATTGCCTGACCTTCAGTGGGCCACTTGAGGTGGCCTGAACTGCCGCACAGCTTCTGCAGCAAAATCAACTCGAACTCGAACACGAAGTTCGCTGGCTGTCAGCTATTTGAGTGACTGACATGCAACACCAGCAACAGCAACATCCCCAGAGCAACAGCAACACTAGCAACATCAACATCGCAGCAGCAACAATGCACAATAGCGTGCCACAGACAGCCGAAAACACCAATTGGTGTCAAAGCAACAAAATGCTACCGAATTGCAACTGCCACGGCTAAGGGAATTTCTCGCTGCCGAAATTAGCAATAAATCAAAGATTGCGATTTCGGAACGCGGCTTACTAATTTCACTAAAGGGAAACGCGCTGCATAGAGACGAAAATAAATTAACATTTTAGTAGCTCGTTTCTGAAAAATGTCTTCCACATTCCTAAATAATTTGTTGCTCTCATTTTTGGGTATAAGGCTTTAGATATTGGGTAATAAAATCGTATAATTACATTTTTAAAATCAAATTCCATTTTACTACTATTACTTTTTAACTAGCAAAAATGTATTTTTAAAGAAGAGGTTTCAGAGAAATAAATACAAAAGAAAGGAAGTAAATCGGATTACTACAGCTTAAAATGTACTATAAATGCTCAGAGTGTATTTTTCGACCTTTGGTGTTTTTTAACAAACTTAAAAAAAATTCTAACTAAGAAATATTTATTTTTACTTATTTACCCAATCGTAGGTATACAAAAAAAAGTCCCAAGCCTATTAAAAATGTGCAAAATTTTCTCACTGAAAACATAGTTTTTGTTTAATCCGTTCGTTTTGAATAGAACAATACATATATAAATTTTTCATAAAACTTATAAAAATTTAATTTAGCATTTTAAAAAAAAGAATAATAACTAATTGAAAGAAGTTTTGTTTATTTATACAGACCGTAAATAACTAATATCATGTCATATCATATAATATATCATCATACATGATATTCATTCCAATTTCTCAGAATTTTGATGTTAAAATAAAAGTAATTTGGGAATATTGATGTTAAAATAAAAGTAATATGGTATTTATTAAAAACAAACGTGAAACGTAGCAATGAAAAATATTTTTTTTATATAAATCAACAATAACTCTTAAATTGTGGCTTTTAAAGTAAAAATTATATTACACCAGAGACCGGCTTTTAAGTTCATATGGCTAAAACCTTTTACGACTCTTTTTCTTTCCCTGCATTAGAGCACTTTGCAACCGTTTTGGGCTGCCGAAAAACGCGCGGAAAGGCGGCGAACAGCACTTGGAGTCGTGGAGCTGCCCACGCCTCTTGCGAGAGCAACAGCAGCCCGCCAGTCACATAAATAAGTCACCATCAGAGTCAGATTCAGATTTAGATTGAGAATGAGCGACGCTGACGCCGAGCGCACACTTGGCCATAAATCTCGAGAAGCGTGGGCAGGTCGGAGCCCCCTCCCCTGCCCCACTCCCTTCCCCCTTCCCCCTCTTGGCCATAACCGAAAAAGACGTCAGCGGCAAATGGGGCCACGCCTCACCGAGCTTGTTGGCCAAAAAGGCCCAGAGTGAGAGGTGGCATCAAGTGCGTATTAAACACTCTGCCAGAGCCATAATCAAGCTAATGCCATCTTATGACTCAACTTGAGGCCATCTCCTCCGCGGCTAATGGCGGTAAAAGAAAAGTGAGCGCTGTAATATTGGTTGGTAATCCGTTTACGGTCAACAGAACTAGGCCTCATTACCATATGGGCCTCTGCGAGCTGTCACAGGCATAAATAAGCCAGAAAGTTGCCGTTAGGCCAACGCACTTAGCACCAGCCGAAAGAGTCGGAAATTCGGGGGAGCAGGGGCAGAGGTTCCCCCAATTGACACATTTGGCACAGAGTTGGTTTCTGGCTTTTGATTTGCATTTATTTTTAATAAATTGCAGGGAAACAGCAATGCCATGGCTCTTGCTCTCGAACCCATGCCAAACGAGTGCGAAATGGAAACGGCTATTAGGTTCCAAAACCAGTTCATGCTATATTTCTAAATTAAATGGGCTTTGCTTATGATACAAATGGTTTTTTCATTGCAATCCTGGATTTTATAATCAATATTTGTTAGCTTTACTATTTTTGGGGTTTGTCATTAGCGAAATCTATAAAGAATTTCGCTCGCTACCCAAATAAATAGGCTGATTTTATTTATATTTACAATTGTTTATCCCCAACTTACCCAAACAAACACGTTCAGAGGCGGCGAAACCAATTCAGAAGCTGTTCTGAAACGAGCAAACGAGGTAAAACATATTTTAGTAATTTGCCAGGCTTTAAATCATTGGGCATACAAGTTCATGAGACATTTATTGGGTAAGGAGAGTTAAAAAAGTAAACATAAATTGATTTATTCCCCAAGGCACGTCGCATATTCGACTTGAATTATCACTCCAATCTGATGTACGACTCGTTAGAGCAAACACTTTCTGCGACAAATTCGAGGTGCCCATAGAAACGTGTGCATGCGGCAACAATGGCCAGAACATGTACTCTGGCTAGCTTGTTAACTCATCCAAAAAGTAAACCACATTCTTGAGAGCATTAGAAACTGCAAAAAAGTAAAAAAACTACAGGCCAAACAAAAAGATAGAGCCATGAGTAGCGAGAGCACAAAAAACATGTTCAGCGCGTGTAGCAGCAGCAGCAACATCAACTTAAATAGCAACAACGGGGGGGCGTTGGGCGTGGCCGAGTGCAAAATGCAAAACAACATTGAAGACGAGAAAATCTGGCTACTGTAATTTGTCTGCCCACCAAAGACACGACCCCCTCCCCACCATCAAGCCCCAACTTGGCTGCAATATGTTCGTTGGCTGGGTTGTTGATCGCGTTTGGCCAGCCGGTTGTTGTTGCTGCTGCTCCGACTTGGTCCGGGCCAGTTTGCCATTGCTGCTCTACTTTTGAGTGTGTGCTGCGCCCCGTGCCCCCCTTCCGCCAGCGCCCCTGGGCAGCCCCAGATCTCCCCTTCTGGCCGGCTGTATTCGCTTCCTAAAGTTGCCGGCGTCGTTGGCCGCCTTTTGTCGCTGAGGTCAATTTTTATGTTGCAGCCATTTTTCAGCGACACAGCGACGAAAAAACTAAATAGAAAAATTCGTTTTCCTGCACTGGGAAAAATACCTAAAATTGAACTTAATATCGAAATTAGAAAAGAGTCCGAAGAAGATTTATTTAATTATCAATAATCGATTTTCAATAAGCAATCGATTGCACTATCGGTAATATCGATGAATGTAAAATTTCACAGCCACTATCAGTTTGGACCCACGGACAATAGTATCGCTCTAAAAAAATGTTTTATTATACCATAGCTTTGTTATTTTGAAAACAAATAATAGAGTGAGCTTAGGCAGTTTTTATAAACGGTACGTTCACGATAAAAATGTGTTTTATTTAGCAATAAAAAAATGTATATTGTTTAGCTTTTTAAGTATTAAGATTCCAGCATTACATTTCCATTAAAATAAAAATACATTTTCAATATTTAGTGTTACATTGTTTTTTACAGTAATTTTCGATAGTATCGATAATATCGGTGGGGGAAACTGAAACTTTCGATAATGCGCACTATCAATGTTTTCCAAACCTAATATGTTTTTAAATGACTTTCTACCGTAACTTACCTACTGACTATAAGGTCAGTAGTAAAATTATTTTTTAGAGCGTTAATTTTTAATTTGGATAAAGGAGTTCTGGTTAAAATTCGATAATTTTATGCAAAATTATGTTCTCAATATAAATAGAATATTTTGACATTACTTCTCAATATAAATGCAAATACAAAATACTCAACGTGTAAATGCAATTTTTTCTCAGTATAACATCTTTGGTTTGTTTTCCTTCCACATAAATTTTTTTAAATTACGGCGTTTTTATACCCTTTTTACGCCCTTTCAGAATCAGTATTTGCGCTATACTTTATGGCCATGTTTTTATGTGCCCTATTTCTTATGATGTTTATGATTTCTTTGGGTGACTTGTGATGCTCATTCAGTTATCTTTTTAACGTCTTGTTGATATATTAAACCAATATAAGAAAGATTAAAAGCAATAAAGCTCCTTTTTATATTTGCAGGGTATTGCAGGCCTCTATATTTAACTTCAAAACCCCTTTGATTCTTCCTCTTCTGTTTCCATTTTATTTTTTGTGATCTTTTTTGGGCTTTGTAAATTTTTCATGTTGTCTGCTGCACTTAAAGTTACGTATGAGCATTTTGTGTAGGTCTAGTTTGCTGTTTTTTATTTCCCTGCCTTTGTTGCAGACAAACTTTTTCAACTTGACACTTGAACCGAGAGAACTCCAGCCAAATGAACACTCGACTACAAGGGCCGGCCTCAATGGCTTGACACTTTCAGTTGGTAATTAGTTTTGCGGCCATGCATGTAAAATGCAATTTGCCACTAAAGACCCCAAGGGGAAGCTGCTCAGATCACACAAATCCCACTTTGACTTAACTAAAACGATGAATTTTGGCTAGACAATCGATTATGCAATCTAGCATTGAACAGCGTTTCTGGGCCTTTGTTTACCGGCAACCTTGAACCGCTGCAACTTGCCACTGGGATTGCAACAGTCTGAAGTGACTGGCAAATGATTGGGACAGACTTTCGAGTGTCTGTCAATCAAGTCGAATCAGAATTAAATCATTGACAAATAACAATAATCAGTAACAAGGCTGTAGCGCGCTGCTGCTTCTGTTTTTTGTTGCATGCGGCATGCAACGTCGCCGCTGCCCTGCAGCAATGAAAAGTGAAAATTCTTGGATGGCTGCTGAAAACTTTTGGCCCACCAGCGGGATTTCCACATGTTTTCCAAACAAATACGAAGAGCCGCCCTTTCTCCTTTTGTTGATTGCAAACTGTGCCGTCGTCATGTGCCACATTTGCAGTAAGCTGAAAGTAAAAATAAAGCCCAGTGAACTGAAACTGAAACTGAGCATGCAGCATAAATATGTGAATAATGCATAAACAACTAGAACACACTGCACTGGCAACTGTTGCTGTGTTGCATGTTCGCCAGCCAGCAAGAGCCTCGAAAAAATGGCTCAGCTACGAAAATAAATACGAACATTTACTGGGAAAAGTTTATGCACAGGTAATTAGAGCCAGCAGTTTTGTTTGCCGCTGCTCATGTTGAATGCAACTGCAACTGCCTTCTTTTTAGCCAAATAAAATGGACGGACGAGTCCAGACTTTGGTGCTACTTTAATTAAATTCCCCTATGTACAATCGGGCGGGGGAGCAGCGGATTCTTTGCGGCAAACAGTTTTCAAATGCTCTTTGGGCGCTAGTTTCAATTCATAACGTGAAAGAAGGACCCGACAAAGATGTAAACTTCAAAAAGAAAATAAGGGCAATCAAGCGAATGGTAAATACTCTAGGAAAATAGGGATAAATATAATAAGGCTAAAACTTCAGTACAAGTTTAACAGAAACTTATTGAAATAAAATTGTATCTTTCAGTAGGAGATGCAATGCAAATATAAATAGGTCGTAACTTGGCCTAAATTGAATGGGACACAAGGAACTCAAAGTAAATTAAATTCGTTTTCTACATTTTCGTTGAAAATAGTTTTATTTATTTATATTTATCATACACCTCATGTTCAGGCTAGCACCTCTAGATGCACTCGTTTTTCTGCTCCATCTCTAACCCAAATACCTCAATAACTAGAAGCAGCCACGAGCTCAGGTTATAGGGCATTGGATAAAAGGGGAAGAATATTGGGAAAGGAGGAATTTTCACAGTTGCAACCCAAAGTTCATCAAAACAGCATAGCTGCAGTTGCAGTTGCAGTTTTCCGCACTCAAAGCCAAAGACCAGAGCCACCCACTCGGCGCTGAAGCGGGTAAATAGGCCAACGCGAAGGGGGTTTCGACCACAGGGGCGTGGGGCGGGCTGCAAAGGGGGGTCGAGCGAACTATGCCCAAGGGGCTCTTGGCTAACAATGCATATGACAAACTTTTGTCAATTTATTAAGAAGCGAAGAAATATGGTTTCTCTCGACGAGCCAGGCTAACCTGATTCCCAGGAGAAGCCGAAGCCAGGCAACGTGGTCAACCGGAGGAAGAGTTTCCTGCTGGATGCACTCGAGGAACCCCTTGTGAGGAACCCCTCGTGGATCTGCCTCATGTAACCACTGATACCCATCATCCTCATCAGCAGCAGTTGCCGCTGCAGCAGCCAAGACGCAGTTCAAACAACTTTCGTTCGCATAAATTGATGATAACAAAGGCCGGGAATCAGAGTTGCTACCAAAACTGGTTGCACTGGACGTTTAGTGCACGGCGACAAATTGAGTGATAATTCAAAACGGTTTGCCTATTATAAATCTCGATTTTAGCCAGCCCAAAATGATTTAAAATCATTTCATTGGAATTGTTATTTAAAATAATTACATTGTATTTATTTTAAAAGCAGATAACATTAATTTGTAAATGAAAAATAAAGTTGATAGTTTGCCTGGCCTTGGTTTAAGCAATCAAGAGCTATATGTTAATGTTACTTGTATTATTTCAAGACGTCGTATTACACATTTCTGCAAAATTAGGTTTTGTTACATTCTGCACCTGATCTTATCCTACTTGCAACCTTAGTTTACTTCCTAACCTAACGACATTTAATACTTCGATTTGGGATATCATCGAGAGTTTGTATCTATTTTTATTGAAACGCATACCAATAAAAATATAAGATGCCTATCTGTAGACTCGCATTTTAATATCCATTATATCTTGAGTCAAACAAACGTCACAAGTGTTTAAGAAGTTTGTCCACCTCTATTCACATGGTATTTGAGATGGAAACAGGATTCCAAAAATTAAAAGAAATTTTATTCGTGCATTTAGAGGAGTGTCTTTCCTACTGTTGAAACATGTAATTAATAGAATAGAATTTTAATAATGACTTTCTTAAAAACTTTTTCTCAGTGTACCGTTGCAGCGGCAGTTATGAATTATGTCAAATGGCATAATTGCCAGTCCAGCCTCAGCAGCTGCTGCGGTCGTTGGCGGTTTTTAGTTTTCGGCTTCAGTTTGACTTTGAGTTCGAGTTGCAGTCGGAGTTTTGGGTTTTGGCATCGCGCGCTGGCAGGAAGCAATAAATTCTATGCATTGCACTCGATACAATTTGTAGCTGATGGGATGCGATGGGATGGCTGAGATGGGGACTGGGGATATAGGATGGTGGGATAGGGGATCGCCGGAGAGATGCCCGTAGATAGATGGC